CAGAAGTTTCTGATCTGCTTCCCTCCATGCCAAAGTAAAGAGTGCGTATGACAAGATGTTTCGATCAGGCTGTTGAGCGACAGGGCTCAACGCCTGTGAAACAGGAAACCTGAGGCTACATTCAGAAGTCAAGAAATGTGAAGTTGCAGCCTCTATCTCCAGCTGCTCAAAATAGCCAAATTTACAACAGAATGGAGAGCACTGGAAGTGCAACAACTTCCATTTCCTAACCTGACGGGGGATTTCTTAACAGCCATCAGTGGAAGAGGTGATTAATCACAAAGCGCGTGGGTATTCTAATAGTTGCCAGTGCAAGAGGTTGTGATTACACCGATGCAGTAATTGTGAGAACCTGTGTTGCTTTGAAGAGCTCCCTCTCAGGAAAGAAGCAGGTGGATAGCAAGAGAACAAGGTGAAAAAGGTGAATAGTGAGAGTGCAAGGTGAAAAGTGGGATAAGCAATGGCTACAGCAAACTGGCAGCCAGCTGCTGTCAAAAGGGAAGGAGAAATGGACAGTGTGTGTTTGAGAAGGAACCCTTGTGAGCTTTGGACAATCCTACTAGGAGTTCTGTCTACACCCAGCACCCAGTGTGAATGTGCCCAAGACACAGGCAGGGACTGAAAGCAGGCATCGCTCAAGGCCCTCTGAGTCAACATGTCAACAGCGTGAGCATGGGAGAGATGTGGACATCCTGGAGACAGTCCAGCGAAGGGTTACAAAGATGATGACAGCACTGGAGCATCTCTCCTGCCAGGAAAGGCTGAGAGAGCTGGGACTGCTTAACCTGAAAAAGAGTAGTCTCGGTGAGGGTCTTATTAATGTTTGTAAATACCTGAAGGGAGGGTACAAGAAGAGCCAGGCTTTTTTCAGTGGTGCCCAGTGACAGGACAAGAGGCAATGGGCACAAACCGAAACACGGGAGGTTCCCTCCGAACACCAGGAAAACATTTTTTACTGTGATGGTGATGGAACACTGGCATAGGTTGGCTGGAGAGGTTGTGGGGGCAACTGGCTGTAGGTGGCCCTGCTTGAGCACGGGGTTGGACCAGATGACCTTGAGATGTCCCTTCCAGCCTCAACCTTCTTTGACTCTGTGGTCAGCAACAACAGGAAAGGATAGTTTTCTTCTGAACTAGTGAAGATTGACCACTGACAAGAATGGTCGGGAGTACTGATGCTGCTAGCATCCTGAGAAACCTCTTAGCTGCGTGGTTTTTGTCTCGATCCAGATTCTGATCCCTTCCAGGTCATACTCAGACTGGAGATGCTTGCCAGGCTCGGGGTGTACCTCTTCCTCGCTAGTACAGTTCATTTACAAGAATTGCCTGGGCATTCTCAACAAAGGAGTTTGCTGTGGTTTTCGGTTCTAGAACAGGGGCAATTGCTCCCCGTCCCGGTGACATGCTGTAAATCTGAGAAGCGGTTGCCCAGGAGGATGCTTAGTTTTGCTACAACGCACGTGTCTGGGCAGGCACGGACCGGTTATTTCTGCAGATCCCTCCATTACACACTTGCCTCTCAGGGCGGCACATCGCACCCACGAGATTCCTTCCAAACCTGGGTGGGGCCTGCAGGCAGCAAGACAGCGAGTCCGTACTGGAGAGGAAGGGGAAGGCAGAAGAAGGAGGAAAGTGTCTGCTGAATGCTTTGAGCGGATATTAGAGAAGCCTGAAGAGAGCCATCAAGTCCAGAGAAGGAGGATTTGCTGTAGTCGTGACGAGAGCTTAGCTGGGAACGCAATCTGTGTGGCTGGAAAGAAACAGGTCAGATTCTGACGCTGCTTACGTGCCCTGATCACGGGGAAAAGTCCAAAGGCGCTGCAGGCTGCCTGCGGGGCCGCTGCCATCACGCCGACGGCGTTATTTGTGGAGAACTGGAGGAGCGAAGGCCAGCGGGGAAGAATTAAGAGCTCTGTTTTGACGTGTTTTACCGTTTTCTCTGAAACATCAGCAACAAGCTGAGTTCTTGGTTTGGGCGGGAAACAGAGAGGAAGCAGTGACACCGCGCCGCAGGAGGGTATGCAGCCAACACACCGCTAATGGCCAACTATGAATATAAATAAACCCGACCTCTGCAGCCGAGGTGTCCCTGCCATCCTCCCCGTGGCATCAGCAGTGGGACAGAAATCACAGCAGCACTAATTCGATCAGTTTCCCAGGAGCCAACAATGCTCCTTCCCAGTTCCTCGCCAGCGAAGAGGCACACCGTCGGGAAGCCACCCAAACTCCCCTCAAACGAGCGGCTTCCCTCGCACGTTGAGAAGTTTGCTAAATCCAGCATCTCTTTCTTCACTAAAAGATGCAAAGCCCTCAGAGCTCTGGCGAAGAGCGCCTGTCCCGCCCAGTAACGGAGCCCTGGGAAGCGGGCTGCCTTACCCACAGCGGGGGCACGGCTCGGGACGAGAAATGTCGTTTGAATATGCCAGTCTCAAATTGCTCCTAGCTTTACAGAATCACAGAATCATTAAGGTTGGAAAAGACCTCTAAGATCATCAACTCCAACCGTCAACCCAATCCCACCATGCCAATACAGACGCCATGTCCTACATTTAAGATCCCTGACAACTGAAATCACAGAATCATTAAGGTTGGAAAAGACCTCTAAAATCATCAGGTCCAACTATCAACCCAGTACCACCATGCCTGCTAAACCATGTCCCAAAGTGCCACACCTACATGTTTTTTGAACACCTCCAGGGATGGGGACTCCCCCACTTCCCTGGCCAGCCTGTTCCAGTGCCTGACCACTCTTTCAGTACAGAAATTTTTCCTGATATCGGATCTGAACCTCCCCTGGGGCAACTCGAGGCCATTTCACAGAATCACAGCATGTTCGGGGTTGGAAGGGACCTCTGTGGGTCATCCAGTCCAACCCCTCTGCTGAAGCAGGGTCACCTACAGCAGGCTGCACAGGACCTTGTCCAGGCGGGTCTGGAATATCTCCAGAGAAGGAGACTCCACAACCTCCCTGGGCAGCCTGTGCCAGTGCTCCATCACCCTCAGAGGGAAGAAGTTCTCCCTCTTGTTCAGATGGAACTTCCTCTGCTTCAGGTTGTGCCCATTGCCCCTTGTCCTGTCGCTGGGCACCACTGAAAAGAGTCTGGCCCCATCCTCCTGACACCCACCCTTCAGATATTTATAGGCATTTATAAGGTCCCCTCGCAGCCTTCTCTTCCTCAGGCTGAACAAGCCCAGCTCCCTCAGCGTCTCCTC